ACACCTATCCTCATATTTTTAAACGAGGATAGATATTAAGCATAGCTATTCTCGTTTCTTGTTTAGGTATGGAAACATTATCTATTTAATGTTATTCTCAACATAGCATTCATGCTACATATAAGACATAAATTCTTAACAAACTTTGAGACAGTTTGATGTAATGCAAAAAATATCGCCTTTCGAACGAAATGAGACAATGTTTATTTAATTCCAATAAGATTACTTATATTCCCTGTAATTGTTCCCTCAGAATCTCAGAGGATCTGTACATTTCACTCCGTGCCATTTTTATGCAGTCCTGATTTCTCCCTTAATCGATATAGAGATTTCGAAAAAATAAGATTTTAAATCGTTTTGATTTGTTGCTTCATTTTGTTAGTGCAAGTATTAATGCATATTTATATAAAGCAGTAAACTGGTGAAGTACCGATGAAATGCCAAAATTATTCATTTTATCTGCAAAGAATCATATAAACACTATCAGTTGTCACTCGATTACCAATATTATAATGAATTTTACAGTTTAATTGTTTTAATTGACAGCTAACATGCGTTTATTATTTTAGAATACATTTTTGCATGCTATGCGACAATGGAGACATTTCGATGAACGATATACGGCAGATAACCTTTTGGAGCAATATACCGTCGACCTACCCGGACGGCGATATGGTTGCTACAAATTTTCATCTCGTCATCCTGATTTTGGAAATTGCACTTACGATGGTTATTGGTTATGTGGCAAACCTCATGGAAGGTTTTCTTTCTGGCTCATTCTTTCTATATAAACTATAAACTTAGAAATAGATTTAATTATTTTTATGATATTTCTTTCCTTCAATTTAGGCTTTCAGTAATCTTTTGATATGATAACTTTTACGCCAGAAAAATTAGTCTGTCATTTTTACTTAATGATTTCTTACTAATATAAGTAAAAAAATACTATCAAATGAAATACTCGTCTATAGCGCTAACTCTATGAGATTTGCAAATCCTTCGCTTAGATTCTAGTTTATAGTGTAGTGTAGATTCTAATTATATAGTTGATTTTTTATAAACCTATTCATATGCTTTGCAATTTGCAATGTTTTTACATTTTCTCATTTCAGAGGATGTCTTGTGTATCCAAGCAAATGGGAATATCAAGGATACTTTGTTGATGGGCGTTTAGAAGGGTGTGTTAATTTATGCTGCAGTGATTTTAGCATTTTGTCTTCGTGCTCGTTACGTAGTTTTTGTATGAGAATGATAGTAAATGAGAACTGTAATTTATGATTTTTTTCATTTTTCAAAAATTTACTCGTTTTTTATTCTAAATAATTCATGAAACTTTCTTTTAACTGGTGAACGAATAGAATCAAATTATATGATCAACCTGATTTTTAGTTATTGATCACTTCAGTTGCTATTAATTTATAGAATATTATTGTTTTTCTTCCTTTTTTCCTTAGCAGTATTCTAAAAGAATAAGTGATGAGTTATAGGTTTGGGAAAATGTCAATAACTACAGGTGGAAATTTACGGAAGATCAACCCATATTTTGGAGTAAAGGAGGAAGGAACACCAGAAGTTGATGTACACATTGGTTTCTGGCGTAACGGCTGTTTAGAAGGATTAGCTCATATCACGTAAGTATTTTTACATGTGAAATTTCATCAAAAACTAGAGAATATTCCAATCCTTATATTGATTGACTGGAGCTTTTAATGCTGTGGTTATTGTTAAACCATACAGTTCTTGTTTTATCTGACGTTGTACTTTTCATTCAGTTCTTTTCAGATTTTCAAATGGTGACACATATGATGGCTATATGCAAAGAGGACTAAGACATGGTTATGGATTATTACATGTATCTAAAGGTGATCAGACGGAAACATATTTCGGTGGTTGGCAAGCTGGAATGCGTTCTGGATATGGAGTTTCTACAAGCAATAGTATTATCCTTATTTCTGTTAAAATTTTGACAAAAAGTTAATGCCCCAAATTAATTTGCTAGCTATCGAATTTTAGAACATAAGTGCTAGTGGTTTTTTCTTCTTTTTTTTTTAAAGTATTTCTTCTGCTGAATCTTGTACTGGCGCGAAATTCGCAGTTTCTAAAGTAATATTTAGCGCCTCCAAACTTATTCTAGATAAGTTAATGTTTTTATCACATTACGATAATATAAAATACTCTTTTTTCAGAAGAACGTTATTTGGGCATGTGGAAGAATGATTTAAGACATGGCAACGGTACTTTGATAACCATTGAAGGCGTGTATCACGAAGGACTTTTTGATAACAACCGTTTAGTGGTTCGTTTCTAATCTAAAGAAATTTCATGCAGTTTCTGGATTTCTAACTGAAAAAATAGCAGTTTATATAAATAAGTCGGAGAAGTAAGAGCAAGAAAGTTTCAAGAACTGCTAGATCATCATCGTACACGTTTATAACTCATCTTTCATAGAAGAGATTGGATGATTGTAGTTTTCCTGTTCTTAATTTGTCTGCTAAAAACATAGTTGGTAATTGTCCGTTTGAAATGTATTTTGAAGTTTGATGGGTTTTCCAAGCTATTTAATTAAGTTTCTTGGAAAAAAATTACAGCGCGGTCGTTTGATGCTGTCAGCAGCGGACGATTGTTCCGAAATAACTTTCGAAGGCGATTTCGAGAAAGCTGGTATTATTTGTGGGAAGGTAATCATAGAAATAAAAGATATGTAAAAATAAAAGATTCACACATAAAAAAAAAAAGATCTATACAATAACTGTTTGAAAGTATATGTTTGCTATTACATTATAAATGAATATGATTCGTTTTTTTTTTTTTGGTTTTTATAAATCTGTAAGGTAGATTTCAACCTGTGAAAAAAAAAAAATACGCTTGCAGGGGACGCTTTATCTGAATCAGTTTGATCGTGTAAAAGGGCGGATGACAGGTGACATCATCAATGGTGAAGTGAAAATTACCAATGCCACTTATTGGAGAGAAAAATCTGTACTGCTGACATCTTTTTCATTAGACAAGTGAATTCTGGTCAACTTCATCAATCTGAACTTTACGATTTTCTTGGAATTATAATTTCTGCATTTCAGTAATATCCTATCAACAGGAATTCAATGGACAACTAATGCAGAGCTGAAATGGAAGGAGCTTTTCCAAAGTTTCTTAGTGTATGATCTTGGTGTTCCTGTCCATATAACAAATGCTGCTGATGTTAGCGAAGTTGCTGACGATGAATGTCGTCTTGCTGCGTGGAATTCACTTGCATCGAGTATTGCGAAGATTCGTTTAGGAATGAACAAAGAAGAAATTAAGTATGTTGTTTATTATAATTTCTAATAGTGAGGACTTGCAAGTTATCGGTAATTACGAGTTATAAAATCAGATTATCAGTATTTATATCCATCAATAAACTAACAGAATTGATATCTGGCAGCTTTTTCCTTGTTATTTATCCCTTGGCAGTGTCTATTTTAAGAGTTGTATTTGATGAAAACCTTGAGAAAATCCCGCAATATACACAAAAATGGTCGAATGAATACTATGATATGGTGCAACAGTATTGGAGCCTAGTACATTTTCAAAGTTCTATATAATTTTTGCTATTTTATTCCAGGCCCTCTTTGCAGTGCAAGTTCAAATTATTTTTGTCATGAAGATTTTCATTTGTTATCTCTAGTACAAAACCTTTTTGACTGAGTGATCAGACACTAATCTTTGCTATAACTGTCATATGATGGGCATTATTGCTTATTTTCTTATATAATTCTTTTTAAAAACTGACCCCATTTCTACACATTTTTTTTATTACAGGCCCTGAGACACAAATATCACCCACTTCGGCGATTAGTGTTTGGTTTATCTGAAGTTTTCACGGGTTCTTATGGTACAATTGGCACTCATCGAGCTGTTTGTAGGCAGGCTGTTTGCGAACTGCACAGTATACATTCGAGAATTTATTCTGTTATGAGGTAAAGCTAATAATGTAACTGTAAGTAGTCCTTACAAAATGTGTCGCGGAACGTTTTCATGCAAGCATTTTTCGTATTTTCAGATTATTATTTAACAATCTACCTCATACATTTGAAATGTTTACTCCTATACCAGTATGTACTGATAATAATCTAGCATCCGGCAATATTGATTCTAATCCACAATTAGCTAAGAACAGGTGAGTTTTCGTTCTCCATCCCTTTGTGTCCTTCACTACCTGTACAAAAATGTACCGTAAATGTAAAACGGTTATTAAATTAGGCAGATCTGTTCAGCTATGAAATGTATCAGTGTTTTAGATTTTTCAACAATTCAATTATTTCAAATGTTTGACAAATCTGTCAAAATATTATATACGATAGGAACTTTTAGAAAAGTTATAATGCATTTACTAAACTGATTCTCTCAGTCGATCGCTAGTCGTTACGTACAATTAATATATGCAATTAATATTTTAGAAGTATAACTGGACGAAGTGTTGAATCGAGCTTCACAACATCTCTTTTATATCCTTCATGCAATTTTATTATTGAAACATTCTTCTCTGAGTGCTATCCCGTGATTTTCACACTTTATTCAGTAAATTGTTCTGACTTGGATCGACGATATTGGGAACGTGTAGTTTATTTGAATGCCTTCACTGATGTGAAATTACTCGCTTATCTTGAAATAAATCGGTAAAGTTTGAATTTTTTTACGCGAAGAATTTTTTCCGGATGGAAGGGTTTTTCTCAACTGGAAACACCTCAAAATCATCTCTTCTCATTTCTCGCAGAATATCTACGAAACCTGTACCCCCTATTTTTCTCAAGCCTACAGTATTTCGTCCTCAGTCTTTATATATATATATAAGCAACCAACATTCAAAGCGAAGCTTTCAGCTGAAGATAAAAAGTTTGGTACTTTAAATTTTCCTTGGGCCTTTGGAAAAGAAATTCTTATGGGAAGTCTCGTGGAACTTAATAAACATTATAAAATGCGGAAGTTTCATGGATATTAATGAAATTCTTATGTGAAGTTTTATGGAATTTAATAAAGTGCGTCTGAGTTTTCTCAATTTGGTTTGGTTCAATGCTCTCTTTATGAATTATGAATTTCCTACTGCTTACTCGGTGTTTGTTTTGCATACACTTTATCTAAAGCATCGGCCAGCTCGTCCGCAAGCGTTTCTAGAAATACTGTATGACCAAACAATTATAACTTATTCAAGTAATAAACTAATAATTTATAGGGATCTCTGGCCGATTAATACTGAAAATGTCGATGATTTTGACATGTCACTGGTAAGTTCTCAATAAAATCTAAATAGTGCTTCTTGGCTATTCTCTTACCTGCGGGACAAATGATAGTGATTCATCCGGGCACTTAGGTAAGGCATCCATGTGCCTAGAACTATTCAGAAGTAAATTCGGTCCATGATTTAGATTCGTGTAACTGCTCGTAGGAAGTTCTATAAATCGGCTATTCAAACATTACAGCAAATCAGTTCATATTTCAACCCAGTATCAAAACTTGCAGCGTTAGCGGATACATTCACGGAAATTGGAACGGTTAGTTTCTTGCTGTTATACCGTTTTGTAGTTTCTCAATGAGGTTTAGAATATCTCATGGAAAATCTTAAGCAGTGGAGCATAACTTTACTGTAATTCCAACGCTTTATGTAAAATGATAGGCTGTATTTCCTTTTCTTGTCTCACTCCAATATCACTTGTCTATAGTTTATTCATTCCGAGTTCAGGCTTTATACTTTCTGTTGGCATTGTTCTATACTTCAGCGATAGGGTTAAACTAGGATAAAAAACAGTTCTTGGAAGCTGATAACAAATGAATTTGTCTTATTGACTATATATTAAAGCCTTTCTCACTGTTAGAATAATACCGTTAAAACTTAAAATAAGTAAGTACTCAAACAGCTTGATCAAAATCGAAAAATTTGTCTTCGCAGATATGGGTTAGTATAGTTTCCCCGCATCTTTTTTCGTTCATGAAAGATGTAAACAAATAAGAATGAAAAAGTGCAAATTATTTTCAAGTATGAAAAAATCAACCCTTATATATAGACAAAAAGCATATAGGCACACGACAACAATAAAAATAGTATCCATGAGAGTTAACATTACACGTCAGGAAAATTAGTTTTTCTATAAAAAAAAAAAAAAATTCAATCACTTTAACATCAAATCAAGCGGAAATTATATTGAGGTAGAAAATAGGAAGACCATTTTTAATGATCAGTTATGATAACAGATAAATGATGAGGTCTGAAAGCATTACTCCTGAACTATAATTTCAGTTAATGAAATTATAACAACAATAAAAGATCTCATGAAAGAAATTAGATATGAGGTACCACATATACTTATCCTGACTTTAAAGTTTAGTCTATATTTTATTGATGAGTAATTGCTATAGAAACAGCTCCTAAGCTTGAGATTACCAATTTATTTGATTTTTTTGAAATTCATTCAGTAACGACTAAAAACATCTATGATATAGGAATCAAATAACGGAAGTAAACTCTTAGAAAGAATTCATCAAGTACTAATAAGGGCACGGGATGTCCATGTTCCGATTTTTTAGTTAAAAGTTTTAGTTTGCCAAAGATCATTTCTTTTTAATGTCGGTCATTTATACCTTATATTTCTATTTTTTGAGAGACCACTAAGCAAAATTTATAATACAGTTTTGACTGTCGACAAATTTGCCATAGGATTGGGGTGGTTTGTCTTTCCAAATAATAAAAGATTACCAGAACATGAATTTGTGTTAGAAAGTACCGTTCTATTGAACAGTCACGAGCGACTAATAAAAAAGTAAATTAACAGGTAGGGAGATTCAGGGAATACAGCTAGATTTTCAAAGATAAGAAAATTTTGAAAGCGCACTTACGCATGAAAAATTGACATGCTCAGCAGATTACTTCATTGAGAAGTTGTATTGTGATGAACATAAGTTTGTCTTAATATCAAACTTGATTTAACTTTCTTTCCTGATTGCGTTGGGAACCCTCTATGAACCACGAGTTCCATTAGTTCAAGCACACGTTGATTTCTTCCGTCTTCTACTTGCATACAGAGCATGTGCTCAAAAATTTCAAAAATTCACATAAAAAACTTACATAACTAGGAATCAAGCATAGTTTGTAGTATGCGATCTAAAAGTGTATTGAGAATTGGAATCGGCAAGGCAACTGATTCTGGTACCATTGTACATGGTGAAGCATTTTCTTGAGAGCATTTTTCGTCGGAAAAAGGTGATGAAGCCGAATCGGACAGCTTTGCCGGCAAAACGAATGCATGAATCACCGGGACATCCGAGTCCTTATAATTTTCTAGTTCCCTGCACAGTTCTTCATCTATTGCTGAATTTGGCCAATATTTTTTTTCATTCTCATCCGAAGTAACAGAAATATTTTCATTTGATCTACGCCGATCAGGTGTTGATATGTTTCTCAAATCTGTTCTGTTTGAATTTTCTGGTTCTATATCGTTTATAGATTGCTTTTGTTTTTCCGATTTACCATTACCACCGTTTTCCTCCGCTCTATTCCTATTGATGTTTGTACTGCTGATCACATTTTCATCTTTGATTGGCAAAGGAATGTTTGAATGAAGGGCAATAGCTGCCATACATTCCAGGAATCGTGCTTCCATGGCTGGTGGACGATGCTGGAATAGTCACATTTTTGAAAGGGTGATGAAAAAAACATAAAATTGCATGGTCAGAGATGAGGTAACGCAGACAAACGGCAAAATGCCTCCATGTATCACCCAGCAAACATTACAAATTTAGTCGATTCAAAGAAGAAAAGAGTGGTGTCCGTATGTTCATATTCAACACACAAAAAGACCTACAGAACTTGAGTGAGAGCGTATGGTCGAAAAGTTTGTAAATGGAATCATCAAGAAGAATAAACGAACATTTAGAGGATGATGACGGTCTGGCGAATTTTCATCATATGGATCAGATGTTACGCATTTTTCAGCAATTTTCTTGCTACTTTTCGAACTTCCTTCCAATAAATCTTTATTGTCGAGCTCCACCAGACACTGCTGTTGCTGTTGATTTTTCCCTGAATTACATGCTGAAAAAGAAAAATTGTCATACAAATCATCCCAGGTAGTCACAGAAAAAAATTTCTAGTTTCACTTACCACCACAACGCTGTGAAACACTATCCGTTTGCAACTGATATGCTCTTAAAATACAGAGTCAGCGGACCGTAAAACTAATCTTCTGCTAAACGGTTTTTGGTAATAATAAAAGTTTCTTGTGGTGACTTTTCGATCTCTAATATCTATAATATGCTTCAGATACAAAAGCAGACAAATCTTTTTATAATAGCGCTTTCCCTACATCTTACAAAACACAGACTGGGGGTACAATCCATTCAGCAATGAAATCTCGGAAAGAAAAAAAAAATGCATGAAATAAAACAAGAGGGAAATTACACTGACTTTCTTGTGCTCTTAGATGGTGCTGAAATGTGTTGAAAGAATATATAATGGAGAAAAGATTGAACTAGCAACGTTATAAACTCAGAACTATCATAAAACGCTTCTAAAGTTCATTCTTTTTGTAGCCTAATTTATATCTATAATATAAAGAACCTTTCGTCAATTTCTGTAGGCTTCGTCGTCCACTTTCATCGGCGACAGCTAATTTACTTCTTTTTCCATACATCGTCGCTATTTCTTGCTCGCTAGTATAATTTTCACTACAGAGAGATCGTAGTATTGACATTTCATCATAAGGTCTTTTCATTTGCATGCGCTGTTGTTTATTGCCATTATTGGTATTATGTGGTGAGGAGTTATGATTCAATGTGGGATTTAGCTGTTGCACCAGGGAAGATGTGACACCGTTAGATGACGTATCAGATGCCGTACCACTTACACATGTATGTTCACTGACAGCAGGCGATAATGACGATCCATTTGTCAACAAATTAATCTATAAATAGGATGATTAAATTAAAGCATAATATATATGTCAGAATATAGAAAGTAGTGTATATTATAAAATAAACATATGATGTCTGTAGATTTCTGAGGAATTTGACCAGTTGCATACTGAGGATTTTAAAATTTAGTTTGGATGTTACTTCCTACTAAGATTCAAATTTGATTTTACGCATTCTCCTTCAAATTTTTTTATGCATTCCCTTCACACATTCGCTTGACTCATAAAGTAGTGGTTTGACGTCTTGTAACTTAATTACGAAGAAAAGTTATAAATAAGGACCTGTGTTTGTAATAGAGATCTTTCGATAGCAGATGTGTCAGTGATACCCTTATTCATTACATCAGCCACAAATATGCCATTCGTATTTGTTGAAGCTGAATATGGTGAGAAATTCAAATCACCAAGTTGTAGCATTCGAAACTGTGGTGCTAAAAGTCCCAGTGCGGCAGCAGTAACTGGTGGAAGGACATTGAAGGCAGCAGGGAAAAACCCAGCACTAGCAGCAGCCGTAGCCATTTGCATTTGCATAAGGAGTAACTCTACGGACTGCTGTGGTGATGCTGCTATAGGAGGTACGGGAGGTGGCTGTGTAAGTAAGGAAGGAGCAGTGGACGTAACCGTACTGGTTAAATCCGTATTTATAGGTGAAAATGCTGAGAAATGATGTGTCAGTGAGGTATTCATTGATTGTTGTTGTTGCTGTTGTTGTTGTTGTTGTATGAAGTTTCGTTGCTGTTGCTTTAAACAGTAATGTAATTGTGGTGACAGTAAAGAATACAACCGGTCATTATCAACAAATGCTGGTGAGGATTGCAGTGTTGTAGCTTTCTGTATTGCTGCGTGGATATTGTTGGCAGTAGTAGTAGATGTTGTTGTGATAGTAGAAGGTGATATAACAGCAGTTGTATTAACAGTAGCAACATTAGCAACAGCAGCAGCAGCAGCAGCAGCATTAGCTAAATGAGAATTTTGCTGTAATTGGTTGTGTAGCTGAGCAGCAGCAATGTATGCTGTTTGCAATGCAACCGGATCAAATAATGGATTGATAGCAGCAGCTGAAGTAGCTGATACAATGGACGAAGTAGATGTAGGTAATTTGTTTGTCTCCATTTCCTTCACCACCACTACCTTAATACCAACCGTATTGCATCAGTTTGGTCTATAAAAGTACCGTTGAATTAAACAAATTTGCAAAATAAGAGGAAGAGGGATGCAGTATACGTATGAACGAAATGAATCCAAATAACGATGCTACCCGTCTGTCACTTACGGTGACAATGAGAATGAATGGTGAAGAGTGAAAAGTGAAGAGCTGGGTGCAGGGAGAGGGCTGCTGTTACTACTACTGCTTTAGTGCCCACTTTTAACCGAAGTACAAACATCCCGTAAACATGAGAGAGGGAGGCAATTGTACTACACTACTCGTAAATATCAATAGGAAAAAAACATAAAGTGCATTTAGTGAAGTACTTCTTCTTTTCTTCATCTTCCTTTCGTTTCGCTTCAGTAGAAAGTAAAGAAATATTAATGGCATAATGGGCTGTACTTCAACGGATCATTTCAAGCAGAACTCTACCAAGCTCAGAACAAAATGAAAATACAAGTTTTAAAACAATAAAGCAATCTTC